AAAACTGTCTGACATCTCCCCTCACCCACTCTTCTGTTGTCCATCCCCCAGGGCGGAGGTTATATGTAGATCCTTGTAATCAGTTTCTCCTTTCTACCCCACCTTCCCTCCATCCTCCCTTATCGCCATTCTCACCACTGGTCCTGAAGGGATCATCCGTCCTGGATTCCCTGTGTTTTCAGTTCCTGTCTGTACCCGTGTACATCTTCCGGTCTAGCTGGATTTGTAAGGTAGAATTGGGATCATGATAGGGGGGGGGCAGGGGAAGCATTTAAGAACTAGAAGAAAGTTGTATGTTTCATCCTTGCTGGCTCGTCTCCTCCCGGAGACCCTTCTGTAAGGGGATGAAACTTCTTTTCTCAGAAAAAGCTGGTGGGTTTGTGGTTGGAAGTCTTCTGCTTTACGTGACCATTAGGCTATAGAGCCCTGTGGTAGAGTGGTTACCCGTTGGGCTGCAGTCTGCAAGGTCAGTAGCTCCAAACACCAGCCCACCCTTCTGGAGTAAGATGGCATTCCTGAAACTCATAGGGGCAGTTCTGCCTACCATACAGAGGTGCTATGAGATGGCATCTACTGGTTGGCAATGAGTTCCGGGGTTTTTTAGGCTCTATCCTTGAATGCAGAAGGTTAGAAAGCCACCCCGCCCCCCAAAGTAATCCCTTCACATCTTTGAGAAAAAGCCCTAAAGGTAGAAATTACGCCAGAACTCTGTTTTCCAACTCCACCCTTTTTGTTTCCTCTTGGCTGCTGCTGCTCACCTTTTACATATATTTAAACCTGTGCTTGCTTCAGCTTTCTGTGCAGAAGGTTTATCTTGGCATCAGTCTATTGTCCACTGTCCCCCTGTCATGCAAACATTCCTAGAATGCCAATTGCTTCAAAAGTGACTAACCTCTTCAATGGCTTATTGTTCCTAGGTTACTTTCCATTATTTAAAATCCCTAATTACACATTCCTTTTAAAGGATAGGTTGAGCAATACCTTTTCAGGATTTCAAGTGAAATTTCCTACATAGCTAGAGGTGGCAGTTTAAGGCCAATAAACTTTAATTTGATATTAAAGATGAGTAAGTTTTGGCATTCAAATGATTCCCATGATTGTTTCATTTCTCTTGGGCTTTCAAGATTTGTTCATCTTGCCACATGCTGAAGCACCTTTTTTCCCCTGCCACTCAGAATAGTAATAAAGACACTAAATATGTTTACCAGCCTTCACTACCAGACTCGGGTTCCTTGGAGTTATCTGTACATCCTACTCCCAATTGCTTAGCAGAGTTCATCTGTGGTAATAATTTTTTTAGAAGAATTAATACCAGATTAGCCCCAAGGCATTGGAGGTTACTCTTCCAAGTTCCTATTGTGCTCCATCTCCCCCCTCCTTCCCTTGAGTATAGTCCTTCACGTCCCTGGGTTTTTCGATTGTGATATGGCACAATGTCTCACAGGAACTCACAAGACTTTAAGGAAATGTCTTACATGGCTGTGAGCGCTGTTACCTTCCAAATCTGAAGGCCAAATGCAGGATCTAGAGGCAGAAGCCAAAGCTGTCCGAAAGTCAAAGCAGGTCTTTCTCCTGTTTCTCAGGGAGGGTTAGCCTTAATGGAGGTGTGCTTTTTATCTTTCAATAGACCATCTCCCTCTGGAAATAAAGGATGGTGTCTTAGTCCTCTGACTGACCCACGCAATAGGATAGGGTAGAACTGCCCCTGTGGGTTTCTGAGACTTAACTCTTCAACAGGAGTAGAATGTTCCATCTCTTCCTGTGGAGCAGCTCCTGGTAGTTTGAATTGTTAATCGTGGTTAGCAGCATAACAACCCAGCCCGCCACTAGGGCTGCCTCCCTCTACTGAAACCATGCTGACTCAGTGTGACCCACTGTGTGTTTCCAAGATTGTAACTGTATGGGAGTAGAAAGCCCGGTATTACTTGGAGCTGCTGGTGGTTTCAAACTGCCTACCGTGCAGATCGTCGTAGTACAACTCACACCAGCTACACCACCAGGGCTCCTCCCTCTACTGAGATCTTAATCCTGTGCAAGTCTAGTAGAGAACATCCTCCAAAATGGGATGCTAGCCACAGTCCGTAAGAAAACAAACAAGACTATACCAATCTCACTCAAGATACTGATAGAAACCCTCTAGGTAAGTCAGGGTGGAACTGTTCCTGGGACTTTCTGAGACCGTAAATGTTCATAGGAGTAGAAACCTCCATTTTTCTCCAGCAGAGCGGCTGGTGGTTTCAAAGTGTTGATCTTGTGGATCAAGGTGCAGCTCATAAGCACAGTGCCCCAAAGGCTCCTGTATCATCTCAGAACTCTTGTGGGAATGACCAGAAGGAACAGTGTTGTAAGGAAGAAGATTGCTGCTCTGTAGCCAGGCAACAGTAGCCTTTCTCTAACCGCATTATAATCAGTACGGGGAGAATGAGGCAGCCTTGGATCAGAGGACAAACTGAAGAGGAATGGTAGATGTCTTGAAGCCACACCAACCCTTTGGGTACAGTGCTTGGCCCCAGGGGGGCTAAATGTGTCTCCTGTAGATGCTTTCACGTAGGAGTTAGCTGGTCTGCCTCTGATGTTTACTGGGCCAGTCTTTACTTTAGTCTGTGAGCTGGAATCGACTCGGCCGTGAGTCTTTTAGTTTTGGAAGGTACAAAACTTAGCTTTGGGGCTAAGGTGGGCTTTCCCAAATAATGGCTTTTCTCCCTGTAGAGTTTAGGGGGAAAAAACTACATGTTAAAATAAATAAATGAAATTTAAAGAAAAACCTGCATGTTGCTTTCCTGCCCATCCCTCCAACCACGGCAAATAGGACGTGTACATAGATTGTTTGGAAGTACAAAGTTGCGCAGAACATAACAATCTTCAGCCATGAAGTTTGATTTTTTGGGGGGGTATGTACAGAGTGGTAAACCCAGGTTTTTAAATGTTCACGTTTTAATAGGCGTCTTTGAATGACACAGTTGAATCTTTTCTGATTTTCACTTGAAAGTTTTCAATTGTTGGAGAAACCAAGTACTTTTAAATCTATGTCATGTCCCCTCACTAACCCATGGCCCTACGGGGGACAACACCAGAGACAGAGTGTGGGAACTGCACC